TGAGATCCACCCCCAAAACACGTTTTAGCTATTTTTACAGTAATATGTGTGAATGTGTGTGGCAATTTTTTCGTCCACGAATAATCTTATAAGGTAACTTCCAAAAATTTCCCTTTTCCGTATTTAAGCTCTTTGATATTTATATATAAAGAGTTGATTCGATTTTTGGATAAGCCCAAAACAGTTTTTTAATGGGCAACCAGAAATGGTATTTTACTTGAAGTCCATAATAGTTTTTTATGAATTAATTACCCATCTTCTGCTAAAGCTGGAATGAAATTCATATACCCAATAAATACTAACGAATGCGCCCTGATTTTTGCAATTTATAATCCATTCCTATCAAATAAATTAATTTGGTAACTTTACTTTACTGATGAGTGAAATATCCAAATCGTTATTAGCCATGCTTGATATCCTGCGACGTACAATGCACTTAGACAAGAGGAGGACAGTGTGCTGATGGATTAAATGATGTCATACATTTGTTTTTGTCAATAGTAAGTGACAGTTTCTTTTTAAACGACCAATAAGCTAGCTGTCAGAGACAGGCGTTTCTATAATCTACTTTCTATATCTATCTTTTCTATAATTTCTACAATCTTTCTACACGCAACAGCATTTCATAAGGAACGTACCGAGGAAAGACATACTGAGCTCTTTCTACTCGGTGAAAAATCTAGAAATTAATTAAAGACTTCTTAAAAGTATTTTGTTCTTGTTTCTAATCCCAGAAGTGGTCCAGCATTTAAAAGTATTTTACTTACGTTTTAGAGATGAAATTTTGGTTTTGTACGATCCTACTGTAATGCGACTTTTGAATGACAATTTTTTTTTTTTTTTTAAAAAATTCAGTTAAATTTGTAAAGAACTTTTCATGCGTTGCGTGTTTTCTTGGTGTAACTGGCAGCATGTCCGATTAGCATCGGAGGATTCAGAATTTTAATTCCAGCAGAAGCAAAGCAGTTTTTCTCACATTTCTTGTTTCAAAAACCAAATATAGTGGCTTTCGACTATAATATGCTTAACTCACATGGTCTCTTTCTCTATCTCCAAGCATTGTGTAAGAGGGTAGAATGTAAGGAATTATAGCTCCGATCGTACCCCGATCTAACTGCTAGCATGTTCGGCTAACAACTGAAAGATCAATGATTAGTATCTTGAAGAAGGCACAGCCAATAATCTCAAACTTCTTGCTTTGTAAAAAGTTTTTGTTGCTCTACATAGGGTGTTGACTATAATTCGTCCTTCCTGCCTTTGAATGACTGGGTCTTATTCCCCTCCCCTTAGCTACCCTTTAAATGAGAGAGAACATGATAAGAATTTTCGCCTTCTTTTCTGTACGTGATCTCGTGGTGTAACTGAGAGCCCGTCCGCCAAGCATCGGATCCAGAATTCGAATCCCAGCAGTCTTCGTGTTTTCTGTTCCAAACGTAAGGGTAATACGTATGGAATTCCTAATAAGCCTAATACGTATGGAATACTACTATACGTAAAATGGATGTCAACACTTAACATTGTATCTGGAATTCTAAAAGTATGCTGCTTTAAAACTTTAAACGTAATTTTACTGTTGAACTTTATGTGGTATAAGTGCGAGGAAAGCGATGTTTAATAATACAGTTAAAAAGTTTTAAAAAATGTGTTAAGAAGAGTGAGTGTAAAAGCAGGTTACTAAACTGCGAGATCAGCGAAGGATAAAACACTTTAACAAACTCTATGGTGCGTCTTCTGATGCGAGTCAGAGTTTTCTGATTCCTTTCAGATATTTTTTCTTTTCTTTAGCCCAAACGAGCTATTAGTCTCGAAACGCGATTTCTGGGTGGTCCACTGTAAATGCGTTGTTTCACTTTTCATTTAAGGCTGCTGCCACTTAGGAAAACCTAAAATATTAGTCTTTCATATTTTATCTGTCTTCTACTGATAAAAGCAATAGATGCAGTTCCTAAAAATATTATTTTTTTATCAGATTTATTTAAATGAAAATACATTTAATTCATGATACATCTAAAACATTAAATACTTTTATAGAATTACATTACATATATTTTCAACTTTTGGAATATACAGAAGATACCAGTATTTAACGTTCCCATGTAAGTCTAAATCTGGTATCCTGTAAAAGGATACCCTGCAAAAGTTTTCCTATTCTACCTGGGCTATTAATAATCTCTACTGATAAATTATACTAAACTTTAAAAGAGTCCTTTTGGGCGAACGTTAAAATGTGAACTTTTTCAGATTTTATTATTATTATTTTAAATTTTAATGTTGAAACGATTTTTTTTTTTTTTTTTTTTTTTTTTTTTTTTTTTTTTATGTGTGTGTGTGTGTGTATTTTATTTCAGTTAGTTTATAGTGAACAAATACAAATTACATTCTTCGAAGTTTCACAATAATTTTCAAAACTTGAAGAGTTTCAATATATCGCACGTTCGAGATCGTATATTTTTCCTTTTTTGTCACGTGGACTGTATTGTTAAAACGTTATCCAAGAAAGATTCCTTTTTAAAGTAGATAATCCTCTCGTGTTTTAGTTTAATGATTTAACCGACTAATCATTATTCCTTCCCAGTTTTTGCGCGGTTTTCTTTAGAAAGTTTTTTCTTAGCATTTTATTACTATGTAGTTTCTTCACAGCTCGTATCCAGTTGTAAGATCTCAGTTTTGTATTTATAAAAAGAATTAAATTATGTAATTATGTAACTAGAACACGGTGTTATTTTTATTTCATGATTTGAGTTCTTGATATAACTGATTTCGAATAAGAGCTTTCAGTATCGTTTGTACACTGGTCATCAGAATTAAAGGTTAATGACAGAAATAAAACGTTATTGATACTTAACGGAAACTTATTGATAGAAATTTGTACAAAAGCGTTAGTTAACATAAATTACAATATTTGGCAGTTAAATATATAAATAATATATAATAGTTAAATATACAAATATTATATAAAAATTATAAATTAAAACAAAATATAAATTAAAAATTATATTATATTAATAATTTTTAATTTATATTTTGTTATATTATTTGGTTTATAAATTAAAACCAAATTTATGGAAATTGGAAAATGATGGAAAAATTAAGAAAATTTTCTTTAATGTGGTGTATACTCACCTCGAACAGGTATTTGTACCTCACATTTTGATTCCATAGACTTCAACAAATTGTTGACCAAATCTTGTGGAATTGCACGCCGTTCTTCTAAAAGTGCAGTCTTCAGCTCCTGGAGTGTCTGAAGAGGAATTTGGTGCTGTGAGATTCGGCGCCCTAAGGCCTCTCATACATGCTCAGTCGGGTTCCAGTCGGGTGAGTTAAGGTAACCAATCCATTTGGGTGAAAGCGTCTGTTTGCAAGTATTCTGACACCACATATGTTCGATGAGGCCGAACATTTTCATCCATTAGCAAAAACTATGGGCCTACAGCACCCCTAAACAGTCTAACTTGGAGTTCCAATATACCTCGTCCAAATATCTCCGAGCAGTTACGAAACCTCCTTGAAAGATATGCAACTCGGATATCATGCCATTTGAAATGAATTTGCATATGAAAGATATAATGCCATTTGTCATGATTTCTTCCCAAACTATGTAACCGGGGTCGCCGAAACGGGATATTTCACGGAAACGGGAAGGCAAGTTGAATGTTCCTCCTTCTCTCCAGATCAAAACATGTCTAAAATCACTGTTCGGACTATATCTGGATTCGTCAATAAACAATACTCGGGCTCAGTCGTCTTGGCTCCATTGAACATGAAGACGGCACCAGTTTAAATAGGCCCCTCTGGGAAGCTAAAGTGAATGGAACACAAACGGTTGGTTTCTCGCATACAGTCCAACTTCGTCAAGCCTTCGTGCAGCAGTAGAAAGGCTGATTCGAGGTTTTGTGGCAGACTGAAGGCCAATAAAACCAAACTTTTTGTAGTCGCTTCGTGGTTTCTTCGAGTCGATAGCGACAGAAAACGGTCTTCTGATGCAGTTGCTGTTCTTGGACACCCTTGACAGGCTGTCTACCAACTGATCCAGTGCTTAAAAATCGGCTCCAAACTCTTGATATGAGAGATATTCAAATCTTGGGTGACCTCCATTTGTGTTTGACCTCCTTCGATTAAACCAATTATTTTTTCACTTTTGATCTTCATTATGCCTTTGAGCCATAATTGTTGAATGGTGATCACTCTCAGGAATCACATTCGCTTTAAACAACATTACAGACCCTGAATTCCAATATGCGTCCATTACGGATCACATTGTCAATTACCAAATTTAGCACATTTCCAGCGCTAACGTATACACTGAATTTCAATTTTATACTCAGTTGCATTTAATTAACATAAATAATTACAGCATTGGGCATTGGTTGCAACATTAACTTATTGAGCATATTATTTCTCATTATCCTTTAATTTTGATGACCAGTGTAGATCAGCAGTACGGTTATAAAATTCAGTTTCATTATTTAAAAATTAATATTATAAATTTTTTATAGTCTTTTCTGAAAAACTTCGATTCCAATAATAATGATAAATTTCAGAATTTGGCAGCATGATTAACATTGTATTTCTTTATATATTTATTGCACAAAAATATCAATTAGTTTCAACCCGTAAAAAATTAAAAACTTATTATTAATTTCTGCAAACAAGATAGCTAAGAATTCAGCACTTTATACTCGCATCAGACTGAAAAATTCTTAAAACTTTAATAATATTTACTACACTTTTAAATTAGGAAACAATTCAACTTTGAGTTGATGCGTTTTTTAAATGTATTTTATGAGAAATTGTGTCCATTTCAAGGTAAACACGTGTCTGTGTCTTGGATATCAATCAAAAGGAGAATTTTACCTTAATTCCAAATTATCTTCCTCCTCTTTCTATAATTTTTATTTAAATTTTTATTTAAATTCTGCATAATAAATTAAGGAACACAGAAGGTCTTTTTTTAATTTCTAAGGAGAACAATTTCTTGTTAAAATTAAAATTCTACTTACCTCTTTAACAAATTAGACCCCATTAGCCATTTATTTGCATTCCTTTTGAGATTACCTGTTTCTAAAAAAAAAAGTACAAAATAATTTTTAATCCGTAGTTTCCACTGCCATTTTACAAGGTCAAGCGCACAAAGCAATAATTTAGAATATAAAGCTTTATTATTACAGTTTATGGATTTCTGATACGCTCGCGAAATTTACGTAGACTGCGGCTGTTCTGATGTATCTAAAGGCTAATTTCGCTTGAGCCTTTAAGCCACTAATTTTGGCGATATTTCGCCCAAAGAAGGGAAGTATTTTGTAACGGAAAAGAGATGTTTTTTCAAAATTAATAAGCACGTTTTGCGAAATGGTAAAATGCGACAACCGGAAAAAACTTGAAAGTTAATTTACTGATTTCTAGCTCTAAATTATAATAAGATTCATAAACTTTTCATCTTCTTTGGGGGTCAATGTGCATATCCATTAGTAAACTGAAATAGAATGTTAATTATGCTAAGTTTGAATAAGCGCGATATAAATGCAACGCCATGGATTTCATTGGCTTGCATAGCTTTTACTTGAACTAGACAACTAGAATTGTATATCCGCTGTACAGAAATAGGAGCGTTTTGATGCTGATCGAAGATTGAGTCCTCTAAATCTGCAAACTAACTTTTGTACATTCACATTTCCAAGATAAGACTACTTCCTAAAAATGATGATATTTAAGAATTTACTTCTATTTTTTGGAAGATTCTGCAATATTCTCTTTCCTTTTTTAACTGGAAAAGGTTGCAGAACAGACAATAGAAAATAAATTAATTTTAAAAGTACATGAGATTTTAATATAATGTTAATATATTCATCAATTCATCAAATGTGCGTTTTTAATTAAATTGCTGGAAGGAATTTTCTTACCACATGTATTGGCGAAAAAAGTTGTGTGATGTTTGCGTGGCAACCCTTGAAGACACTGTCACGAAATGACACTATTCACTCAACTCTTGTTATAGGTTTTTCAGAAGCTGGTGGGGAGCAGGTTGATTTTTTTGAGTGCGTGCTTTGGTGATCAACGAAAGATTCCTAAATATCGATCCGCTTTAATTGCCGTTACTAGTTAAAAATGGATTTAAACGCAGGAAAGAAAAAGTTTCAGGTGCAGGAAAAACAGCTGAAAAATTTATGATCACTTACCTTCATCAAAAATTCCATTAAGAATCATATTCATTTCTAATGTATTATTCCAAATATTTATTTCTACTCAACTGTTTTCTGTAAATTTCCATCCGGCTTTTTTGAGAAATTATAGGCAATAAAATCTGATTTCAGATTAGGAAATAAAATACTTTATGCTGAGTATTTCAAAACGATCGAAAGGTTAAATCTATATCAAATGATTTCTGATAAATCCGTAGCTCCTCTTTGTGGGATAAATAAAATAAGAAAGATTTTTTGAAAACAATAGATTTCTGTCATGTAACACATAAGCCGTATTTACTAGAGTATTTCCCCCTTTTTTACTTCTTTATACGAAGTATTGTTATTGCGATAAATTTGGGGTATCATTATTTCAACGGAAATATCTATTTTGTCCGTTCCTGAATCCCTTTGAAAGATTTTTTTACGTGACATCTGTACACACAGCGAGAAAAAAGGACTTTTTTTTCCAAAACAGATTGCAAAATGGATTTAAAATAGATTCACAAGGGATCTTTCTCGTGATGTCTGTACGTAGGTATGTATCTCGCCTCAAAAACGTTCAACCGTAGAGCGTTAAATTTTGCATTTGGAACTACTATAACATCTAGTAATACACCTCTCTTTTAATAAACGTGTAAAGTTTGCCCAGAAGGAATATTAATTTCGTTTTGGCATTTTGCTTGATTCACTATAAACGGAAAATCACTTTTTAAATTGTTGCCACGAAATATTAGAGTCCTGTATTACATTTAAAGAAATTACATTATGATGAATCTGCATAAATGTATGTATGTTTCTCGCATTGTGATAAAAAAACTGTACATAGAGCCATCAAATTTTGAATAGCGTACGTCTCCACATGAATATGGCCATCTGGAAGACCAAATTTGGAATTAGTTTTATAATCTATTTTATATTTTGTAAAGCATTTATGAGTTCTTGATTAAGAAACTCAACAGTTTCAAAGTGAGGAATGGCAACACTGTACGAAAAAAAAAAATTATCTCCAGCGCGCGAGACTGTGTATCCGAAATTCTAAAGCTATGCTCTTTTGAATATTTTGTGATATTGCTGTTGAATTGAATTTTATGGTTTAAGTGCGAAGAACATGATATTTAATAAATGGTACTATTCCGTTAGAGCGGCTTCAGCTAAAAATGAAGAAAAAAATGCTATAACAAGGCGGCAAACATCGTGGCTCGAGAAATTAACATTTTATATATTGATGCTCGAAATTTCTAGTTTTTGTTTGAAATATCATCTCGCTATTTTTTTCCTTGCCGTATTTCGTTTACATTTTTTTAGTACGATGGACTACACAATTTTGCAGTTATTTAATGATGAAGAGGCTGCAATAAGATTCCTTCAGGACAAAGGAATCATGAGATATCTAATTAGAAATAAAAAATGTTTTTAAGAAATTACGATAGCTGGACTCAAGTAAAATCATTTTCCCTTTTTTTTAATAATTACTGTTTTAGGCGGTTACCCGCGCAAGCCGCTATTATATATAAAAACGACATTCTATCGAAGCTTGAATTTTTAGCCCAAAGGGCTATTAATTTCGCTTTGGCATTTTGTGTTGGTTCACTATAAATATCGGCTCACGTTTCAAATTATTGCTACCAAATATTAGAGCCCTGCATTATATTTAAAGTAATTAAATAATGAAGAATTTGCATAAATCTAAGTATTTTTCTCGCGTTGCGGGAAAAGAAAAAAAAAAAAAAAAAAAAAAAAAAAAAAAAAAGGCACCTATGAGACATCAAATTTTCAATTAGTTGTCTTCCACTAGAATATGGGATTCTGGAAAAGCTTGGAATTTGTTTTATTATCTATGTAAAACTTTAACGAATTTTTGATTAAGAAACTCAACGATTTCAAAGCGAGCAATGGCAACATTGTACGAAAGGGGGGGGGGAGAATTATCCTCTCCTTTGTTTTTATCTCCACAGCGCGAGAGACTGCCTATGGGAAATTCTACAGATATGCTCCTTTAAAAATTATTTTGCGATACTGCTGTTGAATTGAATTTTATGATTTAAGTGCGAAGAACATATTTAATAAATAAATGTAACACAGAAAACGTTAAAAAAACGCCTTTTTGGGCGTAATATAAAATCTGAAAGCTTTCAGATATTTATTTTTTATCTTTGATAATTGTTTTCATTGTTATTTTTTGTTGTATCAGTTCTTTTTGAGTATCCAGTGGCACAGCAAAAAGCCAGTGTATCATTTTAAATTAAAACAATACCGACAATTTTGTCAAGAGTATCGCCGACCATAGTATCCCATTATAACGACGGAGTTGGTGATGGTTGTTTTTAAGAAAAGCACAACACATTTATACAAAGACTAGTTATTTCTTTTTTATTTTACTTACTTTGTAGAATTCACATGCACAAAAAAGACATTAAAATCTACAAAATTTGAATTAACTGTACATTCAATCAAGAGCATCCATAATAATCCATCATAAAACCCTGTAGTTAAAAAAATAAAAATAGAAACTACAGAAAGAAAATTAATATTTGAAACATATTTCTCCAAGCAAAATTTTAACCAAACACGAGATAAATAATTTTAAAATGAAACTAACTTAACATCTTGACAATAAATAAATTAAATTTAAAAATAAAATTCAAATGCTTGTTCTAATAAAACAAATAGGTTAAGAACTATTCCGTGGTCTAACTAACTCCGTGCATAAGAAATATACTTTAAATATAAGATGGCTACCTCTACTTTTGACATATGCTGAATTTACAGGTAAAAACCTTCGGGTGATATTTTCAAAAAGTGCAAGGTGGTAACAATAACAAACATTATGAAACTTTTTTTGAACTTGTACCAGGTCGCTCTCTAATTCCATCAATGCTCATTACTGGTAATTACTAATTGCAACTTATGAAAGTATACTTCTTACAAATTTCTGCGTAAGTCCAATATCATGGAACAATTTATTTTCAAATAACACAACATTAACTTATGCATATAATATTTAAACACTATGCGCAGCTTGAATATAATATGGTGTTATTTTTAAAATTATAAAATCTAATATTGACTGTTACATAAGTACATTTTAGTGACATACAACTCCTGTTATCTGAAAATGGACAGCTAATATCTGGAAAACTGAAATTTCATTTTATGCTTTTTATAAATTTAAACAAATAATACACTGTTGGCCATTAAAAACTGCAACATCATGAAGGCATCACCAACCAAACCTCAAATTTACATGTTGGTATATGCGAATAATTATCATTCCAGCGCATGCCCATAGCATATTGAGCACAAATGGAAAGACTGCGTAGCGGGTTTCTCATTAGGAAATCGCATTTGAATGTTGGTTGTTTACGCAAGGGTCATGTTATTCCTTGTAAAAGAAAGACAATCTTCTACCAACACAATGTCGGAATTCGACTGCGGCAGGATCATGGCTTATCGGCACTGCGGTTTATCATTCCGCAACATTGCTCCGTGTTGGTCGGATCTCTGCAGCAAATGTGGAATCATTGGTTCCCATATTGAACGCCTTGCCTTATCTCAATGTCCGAGAGGACAGACATGATGTCCCCTCGCCCTTGCGGGATTGTACAGCCTACAACATGTGCCCTCAGTCAGGAACTCGGCTTGTGTGCAGGAAGACAAGGATAATGCGACGACACAAACAGTGTGACAATGTCAGCACGGCGATCATTACTGTAACTTTCTTTGAGGCTGTAGTAGAGACAGGCGTGCCTACAATTGTACGACGGACAACGGCACTGGACACAGGAATGGAACCGTTTTTTCCAATAATATCGTATTTCTACATAGAGTATCACGATGGACGTACTCGTGTGTTAAAGCACGGAGGAGAGCGAATTGTTGCCAGTTTGCATTCACCATCGTCATCGTCACAAGCACTAGGCATGCTGGTATGGAGGTACCATACGATACACAACTCGGTCACCTCTTCTTTGTACAATAGGTAATGTTAAACAGATATTGTTACATTTCTGATGTGATACGGCCTTTCGAGCCCTATGTGACACCCCTTTTCAGCAAGGTAATGCACGATGGCACGTTGCTTGTGCTGTC